GGAGTGGATGTCTCCATGCTTGATGCCCATGAACACCAGCAGCACATTGGGCCCAGATGGGAGGAGGTGGGGGGAAGACACAGAGTGGGACGGGGGGAGAGAGAGAGAGAGAGAGAGAGGTTGATGTACATCTGTCATGCATTATTTCGGCGAATGCCAGTGCTGATATCCTGGCTTTAAAAACTATTTGGGGTTGAGGAGGGTGGTGGTGATGGATTCTCAGACTGATTCCTGCTCTTTTTCGGCATCTGTATTAACACACACACACACATATATACACACACACAAAACATTGCCTCTTTCTTCACACACTCCAAACTTCAGCACGGTCCCCCTACAATAAATTCCTGGGGCTGGAGTCAGCTGTCTCCATTCCTCTGGACAGAACTTTCCTTAACAAGGTACTGATGGCTTTGACCTCCTCTTCAAACAAACCCTTCCCTCCAATCAGTGAGGATTGTGGAGCTGGGGCTCAGTCAGGGCCTGTGGGTATTTCAGAGGAAACGTCCTGATTCTCCTTGATTACTCCCTCTCCTTCCGACTCTCTCTCTCTCTCTCTCTCTCTCTGATTGTCTGTCCGTCTTCCTATTCCCCCTCTTCCTGCCCCCACTCTCCCTCTCGCTCCTTCTTTAGGTTTGGTCCTGTCTGCCCCGTCGCTCGGATTGTTCTCTGTTCAATTCTTAGGCCGTCTTTACTGTATGATGGATGACCTGTTCCTGTACAGACCCCAAATCCACACGTCTCCTACAATCGAGTGTTTTCACTGACGAACACCACTCTATCAGGTAAACCTGGACCTATTTACTATTTAATTGCTTTCCAGTAAACAAAGTGTCACTTAAACTGTGTAAGACTAATTCCGTTTTCGAATAAATAACACAAACAATGTTATCAAACAACCAGAAATCAGCTTCTGAGGTATCAACGTGTCGTCCAATTAGCATTAGCATTGAGGGTGAACACATAAGCGTAATAAAAGCTTAGACATTATCATATTCAGTACAACAACGTATCTTGGTGTGTGTGTATATATATATATATATATATACATATATATATATATATATAAACAAATATCATGATAAATGTCAGTACAAATATAATCAATAATTATTTCGTCTGTTTAGTTATTTAAACTTGTGAATGTCGGGGGGGAAAAGGCCAAACATTTCAGGAAGCTGATGAATGTTGTTCAACAACTGCCAACTGCCAAGACAATGGGTGACATATGTGGTATTTCACAAAAAACAAATGGCCAATCACAGCCCTGAACAACATTTGTTTAAAGATAATTGGGCTACTTTCGGCCTTTTATGTGGAATCTAATTTGTCTGGGTCAGAAAGAAGCCAACGGTGGTGCATCATGGTACAAAGTAGCCCACATCTGCATTTCATCTAGGATGCAGCCCAAATGATTTAAAACACTACTATACTGGGAAAAACACATTTGACCCTTCGAGTAAAAGCATCTCATTAAGGTTTGATTCTGCTGCTGGGAAAATGTGAAGACCATCAGACCTGGTGGAATGGTCAGTTCAAGGACTAAAGTCTGTACCATTCACTGAGATGACCTTTAGTCAGCACGGCGCTCAGACCATGACGCCACCTCCTCTCCAACAGTACCAGACGGTGACAACATTCCGTCATATATCAACTATTCAAACTACCAGCCTATGAATAGGCGCTGGAGACCCACTGACTGGAAAGTGAAACAACAGACACAACAGTGTCACAAAAGTACTTTCTCAATTCCTGGACAGTTACCCCAGGGCAGGAGCGGGAACAGCAGCCGTCGAACAAGGGTCTGCTCTCATCGAAGCAGAAAGACGCACATTGTAGGCCTGGACACGGAGGTCATCAAAGCTGTTGGACTCATGCTCTACTTGGTCTTCTGCTGACTCACTGGCGGTCCAACCATGGACCAACTTGTGCACTTCCTGGGCCACCATTAGTCAAACATTAATCACAATGTCTGATTCAGTAAGGAACATAGAAAACATTTCATAGTCCAAGTTTGGATTTCCTGTCACTTTCAATGAAATTCCGGCCAACATTTTTAACATTTTTTTTTATTTGCTCCTCTTCCGGTTTTTGTAGCACATTATTTAGTCCACGTTACTGGAAAGATAGCATATTCATTTCACAACTGTATTAAGACTTTAATCTTGACAGCACTTAACAGAATCATTTAAGTTAATTTTGTTTCATATGATCACAAACACCTACGTTTTATTTGCTAGTGTTTGTTAAAAAATCTTGGATTAAAACATGGAATGTGTTTCTTGTAGTCAGATTTATAGCAACAAAGACTCAAGTTCTCTCAGAATCCTATAAGCAACATAGTATGTAAAAGTTGTTGCACAAAATCCACAACGTCCAGCAGGGGGCACTAATATAAAAATTATACAGAATTGCGATAACACTTGTCCATTTAATGCCCCACTACAGAGGGTTGAGTTGTAAAGAACCAGCCTGGAGCAGAATAAACGGAGTCCGAATCGGACCGTAGTTCCGGGAGGGGTAAACAACATCCTTTGAGCTTCGTGGATCAGGGGGTAAAAAAACCCTCCAGGCAAAAGGTGGAACCAGAGGGTAACCAAGGTTAGAAGATGAAGAGATCGACCTCAGAGTGAACTTGACCACTGCACATTTATTTGACCTGGAGCAACACTTACAGCTGTCAATCACAGGGAATAAGTTAACTCTAACTCAGTTGTTCTAAAACAGTTTGCACCACGTTTTCCCTCCGAAAATATCTGTCTCTCGCCCTAACCTGTTCAGCTTAGATCAGTATACGAAGAAAAAAACGATCTATTATCAGCCTATCAGCGATAAACAATGAAACCACACACACTTACGGATTAAGCGGGAATATATAAGAACTATATTAAACAACTGACTCATGTACAGTGGAACCTCGAGATACGAGTCTACTCCGTTCCACAGCAGCACTCGTATGTCGATCCGATTGTATCTCGAATTTCCCCCATTAAAAATAACTAAAAACCAATTAATTCGTACCACCTGCCCAGAAATATACTATTAATTAATTAAACTAACCACCAAACATCAAAAACATAGATATAAACAAATATATTGATAATATAAAATAATAATAATTAAGAAAACATTTTATATTATTGTTATAAAAATGGGTAAAATAACTCAGCGAGGGAAAGTGACCAAGACACCGTGACAGTGTCGAGTGGAAAGATTGGAGCTCAGCTGAACACTCGTAAGTCGACGTTTCCTCGTATCACGAGGAAAATCTTGCAATAGTTGCAGACTCTACTTAGAATACTTCTATTCCAGGTAGCTCGTATCTTGACGTTCCACTGTACTTCCGACTGGATTCAGATTCCTTGGTGAATCACTAGAGGGTGCTCAAGTACCACCGGTTGTACATGTGCCATAGTTTGAGACCCACTGATGTAACTATATACATATTTATAATTATTAACAAGTGTAGATCAACATTAGCCTGACGATACATTCTTATTGTTATTTCCCTGTTCTGCCTAAAGAGGGCATCAGGCCAGCAGCAGAGGCCAGTGAAATGTGGGCAACAAAACACAGTGTATAAAACAGGAAGTATGAAATACACCTATAGGTACCTTTTGTAAAACATATGAAAGATATTCATTAAAACTCAATTAATAAAACCAATTAAATGTGTTCTATCTATCTATCTGTCTGTCTGTCTGTCTGTCTGTCTGTCTGTCTGTCTCTGTCTGTCTGTCTCTCTGTCTCTCTGTCTGTCTGTCTGTCTGTCTCTGTCTGTCTGTCTCTCTGGCTGTCTGTCTCTCTGTCTGTCTCTCTGTCTGTCTGTCTCTCTCTCTGTCTGTCTCTCTGTCTCTCTGTCTGTCTCTCTGTCATGACCAACAGAAGTTCCTGAACAAAATTCAACCAATGAAACTCAACAGATAAAATGTGACTAATAAAACTTAGTGAAACTGAACAAGTAGAACTTGGCCATTGAACCTCAACTTATAAAACTCCACCAATAAAACTCAACTAATGAAACTCAAACACTGATACTCAGCTAATGAAGCTCAACCAATAAATGATTCACTCAGATACAATCACTACATCACTACAAAACAAACATGGAATCATTCACAACAAACACACCCTATTGACATCACTTCATAATCGGTGCCACCTACTGTTCAACTGAGTAAAAGATTCCCCTCACTGCAACAAAATGCAACAAAAATATAGATATTTCATCTCCGGCTTTTTTAAAGGTATTTCTCTGACACATTTGACAAAACAAACTATATCATTGTCATCAAACTTTCGCTCCATTAAACCTGACAAACCTCTAGTTACAAATGACTTTTTAAATGTAAATTCAAAAGTGAATCATGTGGCTAAACATTGGCTCCAGAGACTAAATATATTCCACAGTTTTAAAGTGTGTTTGTTTTAAGGTGACAGACGATACTACAGTTGGTCAGATCTCGACATTTGGTCGATGAAGTGACTAAACCACAGTCACTCCTCCACAGACAAAGGAGACGAGCCTTTACTCTCACTGTAACCTGTGACTCAACTGCCTCCTATGGTGGAGAATGGTAAAGAGACCTCAGGCATGGAAACTACAACACACACAGAGAGAGAGAGGATGATTCAGTGAAAGTGACTTCCTCCTGTCCATCATCGACAAGGAACGAGGGAAGAAGGAACAGAGATTAGGAAAAATGGGAACTGGCCTGGAGTGTGTGTGTGTGCACGTGTGTGTGTGCACGTGTGAGAGAGGGAGAGACACTGTGTGTGTGTGTGTGTAAGTACAGTCTGTGTGTGTCTGCGTGTTTTCTTTGTATGACTGAGATAGAATATGTGTGTACTTTTGAGAGTGAGAGTGATAGGTAAATTATATGTGTGTGTCTGTGTGACTTTGTGAGTGTGTGTGTGTGTGTGAGAGAGGGGGGGAGAGATGGACGCGTGTGTGTGAGAGAGGTGTGTGTGCGTGTGCGTGTGTGTGGGAGAGAGAGAGAGAGAGAGAGAGAGCACGAGGGGAGGGGCCTAGGAAAGTATGAACTTGTGCATGACTTGGCTGCAGGAAGCATTAAGAGGAGCGAAAACTACAGACCAGGGTCTGTCTCCTCACCGCTCCGTCCTTCTGTGTGGACTCACTGGTCGTATGGCTCCTGCAGGAGGCTCTGGATCTCCTTTTTGCTCCACTTCGGCTTTAGTCCCACTGCGCTGCTTCACTCCTCATAGTTGTTGATTAAAAAGTTTGGAGCCTGAACGCGTGCTGCTCCTCTCTCTCTGTGACTGAGTGACTGAGTGAGTGTGTTTGTGTATTTTTCACCTCCTGTGCATAATTCGGGACGGAAGAGGCGACAGCAGCACCGCAGGAGGACACAGATCCACTGGACCCAGATCCATCAGGAGTTGAGCCGAGAGGAAAAATGAAAGGCGTCCTGGATTTTTGTTTGCTTTTCCTCCTGCTGCACACTCCCGGCGCGTTGTCCTTATCCACAAGTAAGTTCTTTAACACACACTGTCTTTAACACACACACACACACACACAGATGTCCATCGATGCACAAAGTCCTGGACGTTTTCTTCTTCTTCTTCTTTTTTTTTATTTTGGGAAGGGTCCCTGGCTCCTGTCGTTGTTTCTGCTGCTTCTTTTCCCCTCTGAACGCTGTTGAATCCATGTGGCACCCAAACATTTCTGTGGAACTGTTCGCAGGGAATGTATTAGGAAAGAAAACAGTAACAGACCCATCTAGGATGTTTCTTTTAGGTAAATGCTAACACTGCAGAGTAGCTAAAGCCGTTGTCAAGTCGTCGTAGAGCCAAGAAAAGTAAATGGAAAAAGGTTAACATTTAAATGACGCAGGTAGATAAGTACTGTTTACGTTTAATGGCATAACACGCTCAGAAAATACGTTTAAATGCGATGTTTACACTGAATGGTAAAGGAAACGGGGATTGGAATCATAGCAGCTCCAACACAGGTTGTTGAGTCAATGCAAACATTACAGGAAAGACCTGCGAGCTGTCTTCACACATTATTTACATTTGTTTCCCATTGTTTATCACTGAAATGATCTCAGTCGATGAGTGATTAAAATAAGTTTAAATGGAAAGAAATGGATGATAGTAACATTAGAAAGATTGAGGAGTTTTTTTTTCTCCAGTTCAATACAAACACCGGACTAGCCATAGCCTTGTAGACATGCTTTGAAACAAATAAAAAAATCATCAGCATCAGTAATAAATATAGGTCACCATTAAGTGAGTAATGTTTAGTGAGATAAACTTACTTGGAACTCCAATCTGTGTAACCAGAACAGGAGTTCACGGTGTGTAAACACGCAGAGGAGATAAGGCCGATGTCAAGATGTTATAGAACCAATAAAACTGAAGATCATTTAGCATCAGTAATGAATTAAATTACCCCATGAATATGTAGCTTCATGATTAGTTGTGGGAAAAAACATGGCAACACAAAGGTGAAATGCCAACATTTCTGACACTAAGTTAATATGGTTTGCAAAAAAGAAAATGGTAACCACAGCACACATTTAGGAGGTTTTGGAGTGAATATGGTCATCTTTGAACAATCAAGTCACGTGTCGTTGTTATGTTAATGCTATGTAATGTGATGACCACTGAAATGAATATTGTTTAGCATTGTTTGGTATCAAAGAACATCAATAAATAAGTTTAAATGTGATAAAACACTCAATAGTGCAAACATTGCTATAGAAAACTTTAAACATTAAATGAACAACAATAAAATATAAATGCATAGTAACGTTACCAAAACATTGGTTTAGATTTTTTTTTTAAGGCTGATACAACAATTACAGCGCAGTGTTAGCCTGTGTCAAGATAGATGTTTATTGTGATGTTAAATAGCATAAAAAAATAAATAATTAACCACAGGAAAACAAATAAATAAATAATTGCCAATGAACTGATGAAAGCAGTTTAAAATGTTTATTAAATATAAAATGTACTTAATAAAACTAAAATAACATTTATTGTGATGTTAATTAGCATAAAAAAAAAAAATTAACCACAGGATAATAAATAAATAAATAAATAAATAATTGCTAATGAACTGATGAAAGCAGTTTAAAATGTTTATTAAATATAAAACGTACTTAATAAAACTAAAATAAAATATTGTTAAAGGAATCGTTGAAAATAACTGCCCAGTACTTGTACTGTGAATAGGCCTTCACAAATATGCTTAAAAATAATCAATTAAATAGATTGCCATTAAAACTGTAAAGGTTAAAACTGACTAAAGATGTTAAATAAAAAAAAAACACTTTAAAGTAAGTCAAATAATATGGCAACGGTTATTTTTCATTAGCCAGGTAAGCTAGGACAGCTAAAAAGGTAGCTAAGAAGTACTCGTGAAGAAGTCCTAAAATACAAATAGTTACAAAAAACATGGATGCTTGCATTTAGCTCAGAAATGTTGTTACATTTGGTGAAATAATTACAACCACGGTATTTTGGGGACATTTTGCTAAAAAATATCATAAAATAATCCAGCCTTGTCACCGTGTCTCAGATTCAAAAATCCCATTTGTTACCGTTCTTTTCCAAAGACACAAAAAACAAAACTCTTACACAATAAAAGCCCACCTTCTCTGTGTGCTGTTTCCACCCACTTGGGTTTCTCACCATCAAGAACAGTGCATAATGAACAGAAAAAGGACACTAGTGTGACTGTGTCCACCTGACGGCTCCTGTTATTGATGTGAAACACAGTGGTTGTTTCCCCTGCAGAGAGAGCTGCTCTCCCAGGGGGCCCCGTTTCAACAAGTCGGCCCATAATTCCTTTAACACATGGGGAGCATGGGGGCTTCATGCGCCGCCACAGAGCGCTGACATCACTTGCTCGGTTTTTGGAGAATGTTAATCGGCAGCTTAAAGGGATGCTGAGGCTTTTTGAAGTAGGGGAGCAGTTTTTGAGCTACTTGTGCAAAAGTCAATGTGGTACATACAGTAGAAGGTGTTTAGCTTGTGGCTTGTTTGGTTGTAAAACATGATTTGTCTGTTGTGTTTTTAGTGAATGGGGAGTGAAAAGAAACGAGACAAATGATCAACACTAACTGTTAGCTGTTGAGCTGTGATTCTAGCTAACCAAACTCCTTAGCAACTCATTCTATTTCCTCCCTGGATAATTAAAACAAAACTTTTGCCAAATTGCATTAGTAGATAAAGTTATTGCAAACCATCAGATAAAATATAACATAATGACTAATGACATAATGAAAGGCAGCTCAAGCTGGCTGGGGAATTGTTTAAGGCTAGTTTGTCTGCTAGCATATATTTGGAATTTAGCACAGAAGTCACCCAGAGTTAGTCCACTAATAAGGAAAACAGCTGAAATATATTGTAAACAACTAGAGAAAAGCAAAAACCAAAAATGTTTGCCTTAAAGTAGTTTACTACAAAATGGTAAATATAGCTCAAATAAAATTAAGTTATTAGATTATTTAGCCAAACGGTGCTAAAAGATAAAATACAAAGATGCCTAGGCTCGATAATCAAAGGACGACTAATATGTATTGCTCAGGTTAGCTAAAGTTTTGGTAATTAAAAAAAAAGGAAATAAGGTTAGCTAGTACCACACAAACATGTTTAAGAAGCTAAGGATAATTACAAGTTTTGCCTTCAAATATAGCGTGTAAATAAGTTAAAGATAAAATGAGAATAAAGATGACACAAGACAAGCAAATAAATTCCTTTCAGACTTCAGATAACAAGTGAAAGCCTTTGTTTAAACTCATTAATGCAGAAGCTGTGCTATCATTTAGTTAATTATATTTATAGTTTAATTCTTTAACATTCTTTTATTGGGCTACCAATCCTCTTTTTAATGCAATGATTTTCTTTACCTTCTTTTATTGGGCTACCAATCCTCTTTGGCTGTCCACATTTTCATAAATCCAAAGTTCAATTCTGGTTTCTGTTCTTCTGTCACTCTTTGTTTTTGTTTTTTTTATGTGCCACACTTACTGTGCGTAAGTGCATCCCCCACTCCAAAAAAACCTCCTGAACTATCCCTTTTAATGCACAGTAACATAAATAAATCACAGTTATGTCCACTGCGCCTGTTAAGTGGCTGGATTAGTTTTTATGGCAGGCTGAGCTCACTGGCACAGAGCGAGCTCCTCAGACACAGAGGAATCTCCTGTTCTCCATCCAGATTGAAAGGCTCTCGTAAAATAAAACACTGTTAAATACTGTTACAGGGGATTCAACCAGACAATGGGCTTTGATCCCAACCTACTCTTCTGTTTATTATCAGGCCCAATTGGTCATTAGTGTTTTATTTGTTATAATAATGAATGGTTGTCTCCCCCTCCTCAGCACACTGCGGTGTTTGTGGACACTGCCTAAATAAAGCAGAAGTAAAATTTAAAAAGGTTATGGATGTGTAATCTGCTCCGTGACCAGCTCAGGATGTTGTAAAGTTTGAACTTTTTGCCTTCTGTTGTCACATAAAGAGCCGATTACAGGGTAGCTCGTAGCATGTTGCCTATTAGTACAGTATTAGCATTAGCAAAAGTTTCAAATGATATCCTCTACAACGTTTACTGCTTTCAGTTTATGGTTAGTAACGAAGATTAGACTGCTGTCATATAATAAGATGTATTATAAAATAGCTAGCTTCTCAATATGATATGCTACTATTTTGAAATTGTTTCTTGTTAGAAGTTATTTATTTCAGGGTTTTGTCAAATCATATTTATTTAGCATTATCGTACATAGCTTTTTTCTTGCTTAACTGTAAATGTTTTCTTATACTGTTTAATGGTAAATATAAATTAATATCATTTTTTATCATGATATGAATTGATAGATGTAGTTTAGCTATTAGCATGCTTCCATTAAGTATGGTATTAGCATTAGAGTTTTGAAATACATCCACTTAAGTTAAATGTTGTGTGAATATATTTTACATGAATTAAAATGATAAAAGAAGGTTGTCGGTGAAGCATTGTATTTATCCTCTAACTGAAGTTAGAGAATAAATAAAAAAACAAGGCTAAGTTTAGCCTTTGCTAACTGTGAGAGTTTTGATCACCTTGACTAGATTGAATGATATTTCTATATGAATTGTCAGTCCATTTGCTCACTTTAGGCTTTAAAATGGCTCTATTTATTTAATGTATTATTTTAATAGTTAAAAGAATCCCTATAGTGAACTTAAAAAGAACAAAGCAGTAGAAAATGTCCTCGATAGATGAAAGATGAATAAACGGAACGGTAGGTGCTTGAAAATGCTTGTCCATTGTTACTGTTTAAGAGACCTGGACTTTTTATACTTTTCTTTTTGATCACAATCCAGACATTTTCAATAGAAAACAAATTTAGCACTTTAGAAAAATCATCAAAACTTACATATCACATCCGTACCATCATCAAAACTTACATATCACATCCGTCTTTGTCATTTCTCCCTCTGTTTTGACTAGATGTGTGACTAGCTCGTGTGGTGTCTCTCGAGACAAGAGCAAAAAGTACCTTTTTTGAATAAAGTAAATAACTAAACACAAATAAACACATGGCAGCTGCGCTCTCTCTTCTGGATCTCTTCTCAGATTGGCCCTCCACGGCTCATTGTCATTAAATGTTGCGTGACTTCCTTCACTTGGCCGCTGGCTCAAAATGTTCCACATGTACTTCCATTGTGCAGCAGGCGGAGGAAACTATAGATTTTATTTGACTGCTTGGAAGGAAGGCATGTCATGTACTTTTCGAAAGAACTGACAGCTCAAACATGAGAGGGGTTTTTCAAGTCTACCACAGAGTTTAGCTGAAGAGTGTGTTTTTTTTTCTTTTAAAAACACGGCAAAAAGCAAAGAACTTGCTAAAACAACATCATAGCCTATATTACTGTTTGATCCCAGTAACCAGGATTCTACTACATCGCAAATTTTGATAGTCAACTTTGGGTCATAAATAGCTTTTGTTAGCTAAATAGTAAGAATAGTTAGCCACCAAAGCAGATTTTTATGTTTAAGCAATGTGATTTCATATGAGTAAATTCTAAAAAGTGAAACATTTAAGTAAATAATACCCATAAAGTTTTAGAGCAGCCAATCACAGGTTAGCCAGTAAATTAAATTAAAAAAAGTTCCATCTAGGACATGTGACAACACAAAGTTGCCCCAGAAATAAGATGTAAAAGAATAACCTAAGAAAATTGCTGGTGATTATTTCAATAATAAAATGTGTTTAAAATTAAGACAAATACAAAGTTATTACGTTCAATTGAGTTCCTCATGCAGTGGTCCCAGGTGCCTCCCACCTCTACACATTATACTGTTTCCAAAAAGGCCCCTCTAATATAGAAATACTTCATTATTTTTATACATAATTTTGTCCATCTGTCTCGTGTGAGTGTGTTGAGTAAAGACCATAAACAGCAGTAACTGTGTATGTCTGAGTGCTGTTTAATCTGTGAAGGATGTGAAAGATGGGACTGGATATTGTTAAAAACCACCTCACTCTCCACAGCTACGTTTCATCCTCGGTGGCTGAAGAACTTAAACACTGCTTGTTATTCAGCCGGATCTACATATTATCGGCTAATCAAGGCTTCTTTCACTGCAAGTATCCAGTGGCAAAACGGCCGGCGTTCTTTGCACGTGTTTGCTTGTGTTCGTGCGTTTGCATAAACGCGGGGAAGCTCTTGGTGGCGTTGTGACATTTCAGAGTCTCTACAGCTGAAAGAAGTTCTTGAAAAGCGGCTGCTGCTATTAAAAGACCACACAGTCTGTCAGTGTAGGGTGGCTGGCAGAATGGATGTGGCTCCGGGCGCAGATATGTAGTTGGTCTGACAATGTGTTGACAATCTTACTCACCGCTCGCGTCAGTTCCTGGTGGAAATCACTCCGCACACTTGCTTGCTTTTTGTAAGGCTGTCTAATTAGATGAAACACATTTTGTTAACGGTCCAATAAAGTGAAAATACAAAGGCACAAAAAAAGCCCTGCGGAAAAAAAAATCGTGTTCCCCTCATCTTTAAAACATAAGGTTTGATAGAGATTGATGAACACTTGTATAATTGCCTGATTTAACCACTTCAGTGTGGTGTTTACCAAATGTTTTACTGGAATAAAAACTGAAAAGCCCAGAGGGACAAAGAAACACATGTCGAAAATTACAGTAAGACAAGCGAGAGAGAGAGAAATTCAAACATGATCTGATGAGAAACAGAAAGCAAAATGAAACACAACAAGCTTTAAAAATAAACTATAAAGGCAACATGGCTATAAAGACGTATTGGAACCAATAAAACTTGTTACTGGTAGCCTTTAATAAAACAGTTAAAAGATTGATTGTTGAAAAAATCGCAAAAAACAATGTATGCTAAAAGTAGTCGTTTATTAGACAGTCAGTAAGATTAGCCATAATACAATTCAGCCTTTCCAAAGTTCACGTGATGACCAGAAGTTAACTGTAATTTAAAAAAATAATTCTCCCGGCAGATTTGATTCTGAAAGCCTGTGTATACGGCATGCTGAAAACTATGCTAGCTGGCTAGCTTGTTTACAAAGCTAATTTCAATTTATGTGTTGAATACGTACATTAGGTATTGCAGTATTGTATTGCAAAAGTACAGGAAGCTACGAGCTAAGCTAACTGGCCGAGCACTTTACAGGACATGAAGTAATTCAGTCCACCAGGCCCAGATGGGCTTGATCACGTTGCTAAAATAGTCATAGCTGTTGGCTGGTTTGAGGAATTTTAAACAAGCCGTCAAAGATGTTACTTTGCAGTACCGAGTGGTTGGCAAACAAAAAAAAGAAAGAAACAAGTCAGGATATTTGATAATGTTTTGGAACATTACTAAAACGATGGCCCAAAATCCCTCCAAATATTTTTTTACTGGGGCATAAAATTCAAATTTTAAATTGAATCAGTGTGCCTTAAAACTACACCAAGAGAAGTATTCTAATGTACGCTTTCTCTTCCTTACATCCTTCAGATGTAGCCATCATCTACCCCCAAGACCCCGTCCTGCGCATGGGGTCCAACCTGACAGCCAGCTGCTGGGTCCACCCTGACCTGGGTATCCATGCCAGCTCTCTGTTCTGGACCCTCAACGGTCAGCAGTTGCCAAGCTCTCTCTACAGAGTTTTGAGCCCGACCAACCTCAGCGTCACGCTAGCTGCACTCAATGCCTCCAGGCAAAAGTCCGGGGATAATCTGGTTTGTCACAACCACAAGAGGCACATCCTGGCGGGATCCTGTCTGTATGTCGGGAGTAAGTTTTGAAAAAAAAACATATATATATAAGTATCTGAGTATTTCATATTCAGATGTTGACATTGGAGTGAAAAGGAAATAGAGGACAGACGGGAAACCAAACAAAAATATGGTGTGCACATTTGTGTCCCTCGTGGCTCTATTTTATGTTAAGTGTTCCTGCCTGAAGGCACAGACAGAGGCCTCTATGAATGTGTGTGTGTGTGTGTGTGTGTCACTGTGTGTGTTGCTTTCACCACCTGTGTGGTCCATTACTCGCACTATCACTCATAGGGCGTGGGTCTGACATTTACACACACAGACACACACACACACGGTAGTTATAAGAGACTACACCACAGTGCATTGTCTGCTGTACACGGGGAAAATATTTGCCCCATAAAAATAGAAATAGATAAATAGAAGAGATTTATTGATCCCCATTGGGGAAACTCTGATTGTTTCTGGGACGTGGTCAAAACCCAATGTGACCTCATAAAAATAAGGCATTTATAGTTGCGTTGCAGGAAATTCTGCTCTGGTGTAGCTAATTTGGAGTAGCTAATGCGTTACAAAAATCCAACCACCCCCTTCAAAATTCTTAGACACAGATGCGTAGAAGCTAAGGGCTAAACGAGGAGCACAAGTTTGTAAGACAGAGATGTGATCTGAGACGCTAACAACAAAGCTAACGGAGAACACGCAGAAAAGGCTGCAGCTTCTTACTGTGTGTTAGTTGCTAACTCTGCATACAAAAAAAAATGTACACTTGTTTCTCCAAAGCAATATCACTAAAAAAGTGGTTTCTCCTCTCCTTCAGCTGTTCATCCAATCATCTTGCAGGCAGTTTCTGGGCCTGCTGTTTCAGTCAGTGAAGCCCAGTGAACATGGAAGCGATGGTTTTTAAGTTATTTATCCAAGCACTTCTGAGACCTCAGAGTATTTCGAATGTTTAAATACAAGGAGGGATGAGAAGGAAATCACATCACATAAACAGCTGATTGTAGTCATAACGTTGATTCAGTAAATTGGAATAAATAAAGTGTAAATAAACGGTAGGTATTTGACAATTTCTTAAATGACATTTTGGCCTGAGCTTTCCCTTCCTGTCAAAGACCTTGGCCGCGACGTTCAGTGCTCAACAGTTACTCAACACATTGGATCGGGAGCCAAAAATGCTTTTTGGGACATCCCTCCTTAACAATATAAAAGAAAGTTCTGACTTTGCCACAGTCCAGCACACGTGCTTGTGTAAAACGTTGTGCTGTTGTGCTCTCTGTTTGTAGTTCAGATTAAACAAACAGGATATAATATGTTATTTGGTGAGCGGTGCTGGGAGCCAGCCAACATGGCTGCTCAACTCCTGTTCCCTCTTAGCCTCTACTACTGATACTGATTAAATTAAATTACATACTTCTCAAAATGACAAAGGCTAATAGCACCCAGAGAGCTGAAACCAAAACCAATTGTTCTTTCCTACAATGTACGATTGTAGTGTTTGCCAGCTTTTTCTCCTCATTGTTCCAGTGTGGGAGCACAGCAACATGGTCCACCGGGCCAGAAGCACAGGCAGTCACATGATCAAACAGGTTGTAAACAAACCAGACTATTGAAAACCACACTCATAGGGGATCAAATCCCAAAGGAATACACTGAATGCCTCAGTAAGAACTCGTCACTGCACAGGAAATGTCAACCACTGTGTCGAATACAATTATGCAAAGTATGTAGTTGTTCAGGTCTGGATTAAAAAGAGAGATAATGATTCGGCGTGTATTGCCGTGGTGTTATGAAGGGTGAAGAGGCAAGTGTTCAGGTGGAGAAGGTGATTGGTTTAAAGTACATTACTGGTGAGGCGCTGTCTAAACAGGAACATTTAATAAGGTTTTACAGACCAAGGAGAGCAAAACTGATGAACGGAGGAAGATGGGGAAATCTTCAATTTTAATCACCAATTAAAAACCATGAAAACTTAAAACTTTTGTCACATTTGTTATCAAACAGGAAGTATGCAAGAAAATAAATCTGACTTAAATTTAAGATAATTGAATACAAATAGAAAATGACTAGTAGAGTCATATAATATACGTGCCTACCTAGACCTGCCTGGTTTGATAATAAGGGTGTGTTTTTAGTGTGAAGAAAATGTTAGGTGACAAAGTGGTGGATGTTGGGTTTGATTTTCTGGTCGCTGTGCTGTTACTCAGTTTTGACACCAGGAATAAATGAAATGAACTCCATGCTGCACAGAGAAAAAATAAATCTCGCTTGTTCGTCGTGACTGCCACTACATTTTTCCTTTATTACACTTATACTTTTTTACTGGAACCTACAGTTTGTGTTTGGATGCCACAAATGCTGTGACGTCCTCCCCAGGGGAGGCAACCTCTGCCAAATATAATATAGTGCATATATAATATCCCCCAGGGGAGGCACGCTTCACTTTGAAAAACCTCCTGGCAAATATAATATAGTGCATATATAATATAATCCAGTGCAGTTTGCATCTTCTACCTCCATTGTCCATTTGTTACAAATCAATGTGAATTCAATTAGATGTTTAAATCTCTGGAAAAGTATGCTTTCTTTATGGACCCAGAAGAGAAAGGATAGAAATGAACAGATAAGAGCGATTCACTGTTTATAAGTAGACGTTTTAGTTGTTGCTTTACTGCTGTAACCAAATAAGAATAGAGAAATAAGGGTCTATAAAAATGATGTCACATTTAAAAAATGTCACTACTTTTAAGATCACACACACACACACACACACATCCAAACTTACTGGGGGATCTTAATCTCTGTGCTCCAGTGGTATGGAGAGCACCCAGTGTTCCGAGAGGAGAGGAATGTTGGCAGGGATCCTGAGAATGACCAAATCAGACGACACACACACACACACACACACACACACACACTCAGACTTCACATAGACATAATGCATTCCCTTGCCTCTTACGCCATCCTTAAATCATAAATACATATTCCTAGTCTTAATCCGTACCGTGACCCTAATTTGACCCCAACTCCGAACTACACCATAAACATCCTCTCACTTTGTGGAGACAAGTCAAGTATTATCTCAAATGTCCCCATGAGAATAGGTTTACCAGATTCACAAACACACACATTTCTTAGTGCAACATCCTGAGTGGGTGAATTACACTGTGGAGGTAAAACCTCTGACTTTTTTTCCCTCTCTCTCCTCTTTTTATCCCAGTGCCTCCACAGAAGCCAGTCAATCTGACCTGCTGGTCCAGGAACACCAAGGACCTGACGTGCAGCTGGGCCCCGGGGGGAAAAGGAGAGACCAACATTAGTACCCAGTACACGCTCAAGTACAAACTCAGGTGTGCAGACACCCACACGAACACACAGCTTGGAAAACCTTTAAAACGTTTTTCATTCTTTCACAACACAGCGCTAATGCGTGAGATTTGAACCTTTGTGTATTCAGGAGCGCGGCAGGAATGTTTTAATGCTACGGCAAACAGAGAAGGAGCAACCGTTGGTGTCACTTTACAGCCGAGCGGGGCCGTGTTAGGGCTGAGGCCTGATGCAGTCAGCCAGGCAGTCTGAAGGAATTACAGGTTTCATTTGGTTACGTTTTCCATGCATGAGGAAAAAAGAGCAGAGAACTTTAAAAAGATCGTCACCTGAAACCCTCCCTAGACTCGCCCCCTCCCCCTCCCCCCCCCACCCACACACACCCTCCCTCACCCATCTCCCATCCTCTC